TCCTCCTTCCCCCTTTCCCCACCCTTTCTCCTTTCCCTTCCCTTCTCTTCCTCTTCTTTGCATTCGTTTGTATCTTCTATTTGAAGTGGCTCGGGCCTGGAAGACCAGGGCCTTCCCCTTCCCTTTCCACCTGTTCTTCCTTCTCTTTACCTTTATCTTCCTTTCCTTTACCTCCTTCCCCCTGCCCCCTTCTCAGATTCTCCCTTCCCTTCTGCTTCTTTCCCCCTGCCTTCCTCCTTCCCCCTTTCCCCCTTTCCCCCTGCTCCTTTCCATTTTCCCTTCTCTTTTGCCTTCTGTTCTGCCTTCCCTCCTCCTTCCCCTTCCCCTTCCCTTCCCACCTTTCCTTCCTTCTACCTTCTCTTTACCTTTACCTTCCTTTCCTGTACCTCCTTCCCCGTCCTGCCTTCCCCCTTCCCCCTTCCCCACCCTTTCTCCTTTCCCTTCCCTTCTCTTCCTCTTCTTTGCAGTTTTTGCGTCTTCTATTTGAAGTGGCTCGGGGTTTGGTCAACCAACGTTGTGCCCAAAGTTGTGCCCGGAATTGTTTGTTCCACCTGGCCCTCTTCTATTTGAAACCCTCCCGGCGGCAAATTTCCAAGCCCTTCAAATAGAAGATTGGCACAAGCAATTTCTTCTATAATAGAACCATGTACTATACAAGATTGACAAAAGCATCTCAAACATTCTCAAACAAACGGTTATCTAAAAAATCCAGATCCCCCCAATCAGGGGGGTCATGAAAGGTTTTATAGTTGACGTTGCCCCCTGTGATTTCATAGGGGATATTGACATGGAGATGAACAAACGAAACAAGTCAAAACACTCCCTCCAAGTCCAAGCGTGATACACGCACACAAACACATAGTTCACCAAGCGATTGTTTAGCCAGCCTCGGATGCCAAGGGGAGCCCTTCTTCAAGCACCAAACCTGCGAATGAACATGACACACACAAATTCGACCTGGCCCTAACCCAGTGCGGCCCGGTGCGTGGAGCTTGTGAGGCGCAAAAACCCAACTCCAACTGAAGCAGTATTCTTCCTCTCTGAGCGAAGCTGTAGTTACGTTGAAACCGGCTCGGCACAAAGCTCTTTCCACGGAAAAGGTGGTTTACTCATGATCGAAAATGAGCCTTTCTGCATCTGGAAGTCTGGTTGCTGCCTCGACGATGAAACGGGCACGATTTTGCTAAGGATGCATGAGCTGTGATTTGTCCAAACCAATGATGACATGAATGACATACTATTATTTCACCTATCAATATTCGGACGGTCTTGCCGTCAATTGCCTCCAGTGCATGTCAATCTTGTTGTGGGGCGACTGTGAGCAAGGCCTCACAGTCCAGTCGCCAACATCAGCATCTCATGACCCAGCCCCTTGTTCAGCACCATGCAACACCCGAAGGAGGTGGCGCTTAATTATGCTCCTGCTTGGGCCTCAAATTGGGCATCCCCCTCTGATCTCGCTCAGGCTCAGGCTGCCTTTCCTCACTGGAGCCTTGAGGCCACTCTCTGTACCATGCCACATGACGACACATCGTCAGTACCAGTGCCTTGTGTGCCTTGTGCAGGTGTAGCCTGCTCCCTTTGGGCTTCTTCCAGTGCCTGTGGTGCTGCAAGCTGCCCCTGCAAAGCCGAACCATCTTGACATCTAACCACCGGACGGCCAGGCATCACACCAAGAAAATTCACCACCATGTTTGGCGCAGTTTTGCACATGAAGGGACCTGGCTCTGCAGCTTCAAGTGCTGAACTTCAGTCTCCAATTGATCAATGCGACCTGAAGGGCCGGCTTCGGCCCTATGAAGCTTGGGTCAGCAACGAACCTGTAATCTACAACACGCGGTGAGTGCGTTGCTTTGTCGACGAAGTCACATTTTTCCGATTCTTTCGAGAAAACATGAGACGAAAAGTCCGTCCTCACAGTCTGGCCTTGTCGAGCATTTAGCTGCTGCTCCAGGTCCTTTTTCTCCTCTTCCCAGCTTCTCTCTGGGGCATCCTGTAGCACCACATCACAAGCATGTGACGCCAACAAACTACAGTAATTACATGTAATCATCCAATATAATGTGTATATCTATACTTCTTGTGCGGATCTGTCACAAAATCATGGCACCTTCGTCCGCAGTTTCAACTTCTCAACTTCAGTCTCCAATTGATCAATGCGACCTGGAAAGGACTGTTCGCTTTTTTGACACTGTAGACTGCGAGTGGGAAGCCTGAGAGGCTGGGAGAGTGGCTGAGCGTGAGTATGTTTGGTGTGAGGTGATGTGTGAGGTGAGTTGGTGTGAGTTGAGTCTGTTGGTGTGAGTTGAGTTTGGTGCGAGTTGTGAGATGAGTTGGTGAGAGCTGGGTTGGTTTGGGCTGAGTTGGTGAGGAGGCGGGAGGAGAAGGAGGCGGAGGAGGAGAAGCAATCCGCGGCGGACGGGATGCGCAGTAAACATAAGAACCCTACACAAAGCTGTAGGGGAATGAGAAAACACTACTGGAAGGATAGTATATCCGGAGTTATCTGGATACGTGCGGAACAAGAGCTATTCAGCTATTCGTGAGGCCTTGTCGAGCTTCTAGCTGCTGCAGCAGGCCCTGTTTCTCCTCTTCCCAGCTTCTCTCTTGTGCTTCCTAAGAGCACCCGGCGTCAACAAGCACAGCGTGCCGCTGCAAAACAACAGTCACCACAGCCACAACCTGTCGTTAAGCACGACCGAGGATGCGCACCTGCATCTGCGCCTTCAACTGCTCAACATCTGTCTGCAATTGATCAATCCGACCTGAAATAGGTTTTCACAATGCGAAGGCAAAGGGGTCCCACCTTACAAAAATGATATGACATGCCAAGCATGCGGAAAAAACAGAGCTAGGGATGCTTTCCTCCGTTTGGGGGCCTTGTCGAGCTTCTAGCTGCTGTTCCAAGTCCTTCTTCTCCTCTCCCCAGCTTTTGTCTGGTGCTGCAACCTGGTCCTTCAAGCACCCCACTCTTGACAACATGTTACACCAAAACATGTCACCATCACATGTTGCATCGGAACATGCGCTCCGTTGTCTGCAGCTTCAACTGCTCAACCTCACTCTCCAATTGATCAATGCGGCCTGAAACAGCTTCTCACAGCACGAAGGCAAAGGTTCGACAAGTGACAATGGTCGCCAATGGTGCAGTCAAATAAGTCTTGCCTTGTCGAGATTCTAGCTGCTGTTCCAAGTCTTTCTTCTCCTCTCCGATCAAGCACCCCACTCTTGACAACATGTGACTCCAAACGCATTGCCATGACATTTGGCTGAACACAACGGAAAATGCGCACCTGGGTCTGCAGCTTAGCCTGCTCGACGTCAGCTTCCAACTGATCAATGCGACCTGAAACAGCTTCTCTCAATTTCTCTCGACGCACAGGCAAAAGTTTGACAAAGGACGCGCGTTGCCACTGGTACAGTCAAATGAAACTGCTTCCAAATGTTGGAAAAGTGCATAGCTCTAGTCAGCATATGCAATGCAAACATATTCCAACCTTTTTCTCTCTTTCGGGGCCTTGTCGAGCTTCTAGTTGCTGCTCCAAGTCCTTCTTCTCCTCTTCCCAGGGTCTATCTGGTGGTGCAATTTGCTCCTTCAACCACCCCAGCTTGGACAAGGGTGTAGCAGCCAAAGAAGAAGCCACAATCACATGTTGCCAGGCACAACAGGAAAACTTGCTCCTTCTCCAATTCATTAATGCGGCCTGAATCAATCAACTGAAAATTGTTGGTTTGGGTTGGTGGTTTGGACTTGGTGGAAAATGCTACCTATTTGGAAAAATATCTTTAAAAAATTGGAAGGCAAAGGTTCGACATGTGTGGCCAATTGTGGGGTCGAATGAATCTGCTTAGGATGCGAATATGTGGAGTCTGACCTCCAAACAAACGTCTAAAAATCAAGGTAGGCAATCAACAAGCAAGGTTTCAGCTCTATAGAATGGAGGGTCACGGGCCTGCAAAAAATGAAACATTGATGGTCCTGGTAGTCCTTCGTAGGGTGCTGAGCCCGAAGGGGTAGAAATATGGATATCTATTATACTATATCTATTATACTATATATATAGAGATATGGTAGGAGGCACTAAAGCCAAACGACAAATTGCCTAGGTCCCAGACATGAGGTACCAAGATTTACCACAAAATATAGACAAAACCCCTTCAAAGAATGGCAACTGCAAAAATCATATTATGTGTTCTATCAAAACGTGAAACATCAAGGTTGCTACTTACAAGCTTCCAACTTAAGCAACAAAGGCTGGATTATATAGATGAAAGGGCTTCACAGGGGAGGCGCCTCATATTAGCACACATCTCTAGCTCAGGTTCACACACACGAGACCCCGTAGACTGTAGACCTCTAGACTAGCTCACACACATGCCTTTAAAAGCTTTCTATTTCCTTTCAAATCACACTTTTGTAGGGGACCCCCGATGCAGGGTGCACAACCTCACCGATTCTTCACAAGAGACACCAACCCCAATGGTGCAGTCCAATAAATCTGATTTTTTAATTCTTAAACACAATGAAACAAAATAGACACTTTACACTAGTCAACAAAAACGACAACCAAGCGGAAGGAAACATAGAGAAATACAACTCGGGGGCCTTGTCGAGCTTCTAGTTGCTGCTCCAAGTCCTGTCTCTCCGCGTCCCAACTTTTATCTCGTGCTGCAAGCTGCTCCTTCAAGCACCCCAGCTTGGACAAGCATGTTATGTCGCACCAAAATGATTTTTCAATCAAACACGCAAGCACAACGGACCTTTGTCTGAAGCTTCAATTGCTCAACGTCACCCTCCAATTCATCAATGCGGCCTGAAACGGCTTCTCTCAACTCGCAGCAGGCATTCGAAGGCGGATGTTTGACTAGTGTGGCTGATTTTGTCAAATGAATCACAAGCCGGATGAGAGAAAAACAGAACATTGTCAACCATGTGTTACTTCGTTTGGGGGCCTTGTCGAGCTTGTAGCTGCTGCTCCAAGTCCTTCTTCTCCTCTTCCCAGCTTCCATCTGTTGCTGCTACCAGCTCTTCCTTCAAGCACCCCACGCTTGACAAAAATGTCACACCAAAACACGTCGCCATCACATCTCGTTCACCACAACTGAGGATGCGCACCTTCGTCTGCAGCTTGACCTGCTTGACTTCAGCTTCCAACTGATCAATGCGACCTGAAACAGCTTCTCTCAAATCGAAGGCACGGGTTCGACAAGTGTGACATTATGTGACATCATGCAATCAAATGAATCTGCTTCTGCCCGGTGGACAAAAGGAGAATATGTTTTTGAAGTCAACAGATGCCAGCCATGCGGAAGAGAAAGAATACGGATGCGTTCATCCGCTTGTCCGGTTGGGGGCCTTGTCGAGCTTCTAGTTGCTGCTCCAAGTCCTTTCTCTCCACTTCCCAGCTTTTATCTCGTGCTGCAAGCTGCTCCTGCTCCTTCAAGCACCCCACTCTTGACAAGCATGTCATACCAGAATGAGTTTTCAAAAAAAATCGCAAGCACAACGGACCTTCGTCTGAAGCTTCAACTGCTCAACGTCACCCTCCAATTGATCAATGTGGCCTGAAATGGCTTCTCTCAACTCGCAGCACTAGTGTGGCTGATTTTGTCAAAAGAATCACAAGCAGGATGAGAAAAAGACAGAACATTGTCAACCAATGTCAACCATGTGTTACTTCGTTTGGGGGCCTTGTCGAGCTTGTAGCTGCTGCTCCAAGTCCTTCTTCTCCTCTTCCCAGCTTCTATCTGTTGCTGCAAGCTCTTCCTTCAAGCACCCCACGCTTGACAAGCATGTCACACCAAAACACATCACCATCACATCTCGTTCACCACAACTGAGGATGCGCACCTTCGTCTGCAGCTTAACCTGCTTGACTTCAGCTTCCAACTGATCAATGCGACCTGAAACAGCTTCTATCAGCTCGAAGGCACGGGTTCGACAAGTGTGACATTATGTGACATCATGCAATCAAATGAATCTGCTTCTGCCTGGTGGACAAAAGGAGAATATGTTTTTGAAGTCAACAGATGCCAGCCA